TTTACAACTAAACTATAATTTACTTCGATGGAATTATACATTTTCTACCTTTAATTTATTTCCACCTTAGATTATAGTATGTTATGGCCATTTTACTCTCAAATACTGGCAATGTATCAGGCAGTAGATTGTACATCTACTGACTTAATTGACATGTATAGGGAACATTTCTTTGCCAGCTATTTGAGAGTAAAGACCGAGTGTAAATAATTTAATTAACACTAGAAATCATTTGATTTTCAGTAATATCTATCTAACAATTATAAGCTGCTACAGGCAATGTGGAAATAGCATTCTTTCATTGCTTGTAACGGCAGTGTCAGGTATTATGACGAAACTGTTCTGCGATAACAATTAGAGTTATAGTAAGAATACCAATGAAAATGGGTGAACAATGCGATCAAGTACCTGAAACCAAAATCACTGCACAGACATATATGTACAATGTATGAGGTTAGAGATGAGGTTGGAGTTACGAATTTAAATTTTCCTATCGTAAACCATTTAACATTTAATCTGACAAATGATTTGCATGAGTAATGAGTGATTAATTATTAATTATTTAACTTATTCATTATCAGATCAAGGTGAATGATTTGATAATTGCACATTTACCTAGCCTATAGCCATGAGTCTACGCGTACCACGCCGCTTCGGTGGTCGCTCGCTACTTTAATGGGTGATACTCGTAAAATATCTGTTCCATATATACAGGACCGTCGACGAGTCCAACTCGGCGCGCGTCCTGGTAGGTTGTAAACCTACAATCGCTACTGCAAGCGAGAGGGCGCTGGTTAGAGCTAGCAAATATACACTTAACGGGTGATACTCGTAAAATATCTGTTCCATATATTGGAACCGTCGACAAGTCCAATTCGGCGCGCGTCCTGGTAGGTTGTAAACCCACAATGTACAAGTGGCTTCAAGTTTATTAAATCGAGACTCTTTTAGATATCTAGTACACAATTTTTTTCGCCCTTTTGTCTCCTCGGAGAGAAATCACTGTTGTTTTAAGGTTTTTAAATCGAAGACGCTTCCGTATCAAATTAATTAAATAAAATTTATAATAACATAAACAATAAACCCGCCACGCAAAGGGTTTATATAACAGATCATCCCGCGCTAGCGGGATGATCTGATAAACACATACGAGTGCGCGCAGCGCACGAGTTTTGTGTTAATATGTAATCCCGAAGCGCCAGCTGAGGGATTACATTTATTTAGCCCTGAGCGTGAAGTGTTTATGGATTATAATTATCTCCGGCGATTTCGACAAGGGATTTATACTTTAGAAGGGAGTGATAAAATAGTTTTTATTTCGGAATACGGGTCTGATTTTAGTAATATTTTCATTTCTATTTGTGATGGTGATAACAAGTGATACGATAACGTACTAACAGTAGTAAATTAAGATTTAGTAGCACAATTGAAGTTATACCGGTTAAACAAGCAATAGAAAATATATTTACGATGAAAAGCAAGCTATATCAAAATGTAAAATTGTATTGATACTGTTAGTGATAGTTTGTAGGTTTACAACCTACCAGGACGCGCGCCGAGTTGGACTCGTCGACGGAACAAATATTTTACGAGTATCACCCGTTAAGTGATAGTCAGAGCAGGTGAAAACAGTTTAATCGAATTTCAAAATAACACCTCCATCGCAGCTTTCTCATTTCTAATTAACAGCTGAGTCAGGTAGCGCAGTTGGTTAGAACGCCTGTCTTACAATCGTTAGGTTGCGAGTTCGAAACCCACTGACTGCCTGGTTGTGGGGTGAGCGTCGTCGACGTTCAGCTAAGGATCATGAGTGGTCTGTGCAGCCCCCCGGTCTACTCAGCCGAATACTCGAGAAATCGGGTGTGAGGGTTAAATGAGGAGCTGCACATTGCAGCAAAGTCTCGGACGAAGAAAGTATGGTACACTGTACACACTACCTTAACCGTCACTGGCCAAAAAGATCCTTCGGCTTCCTGTAATTGGCTGGTTGCACTTGTGTAACATTGTGGCTGTTGGAATACACCGAAGTAAAATAAGTGTCCAGATAAAAAATATCAATCAAAACAATCCCAAACAATGTATTAAGTAGTAGTCAATAGGTTTTAGCAAATCTGGATGACTGAAGCCAAGAATTAAATTTGTTTAGAGCCCAGTTGTTGACTCTAACTGTACTGTCCGGAACACGATTGGAAAGCAGTTCATCAATCTGAATGTCAAACCGATCTGTCATAGTGGAGCAATAGCTTGAACGTTAGCAGGAACAAGAGCTGGAAGGAGAGCAAGCAAAACAATACTATTTTTAGGGCACGGACAAGGGTAGCTGGCTAGTCGCCAACTCCTCACGCCACGCGTTGGAGAAATTCCAAGAATTAGCTGCTTTGGCAACTTTCCCAGGAATTTGCGTGTAAAAGAAGTGGACGGTTACGATGTTTCATATCACGTGGTGCGCTTTCGTGTCACGTGGTATAGACTCGGCGTATGCTATTGGTGGCACGTGGTACGCACGTGACGCGCCCACGTGATCGCGCGTCTAACTGTTCTACTATTATCGAGTTCTAATCAGCAGTATCATTGATTATTGTAAGTCGGAGAATTGAATGATAAACATCAGTTACGACTAAAAAGCGGGCCGGGTTTATACAAATTTCCGGGGCGGGATGATATCACTTTGAGATGTTTATCTAACAGCGGGCCGGGCTGAGTGATAATATGATCCCGATAAAATTGACGGATGTTGCTCGTCTAAATTTTTTTGAAGTAGCGACAAGCGAGCGCCGCTTTTTTCTCGAAATGGCCCGATGACAAGTGCTATGAAGTAGCGCGCGCCGGGCCAGACCATTAACAATGGTATTGGTCAAAACATATGTATTCCTTGATTGACGATGTCAACCCTCAACTCAGCCTGTGTCTTGATAATATGTTTTAACCTACAGTCCTACACGGGTCACGGTTTAGCCCTAGGTCCAGCCTCTAATCAGAGCCCTTGCATGTTAGGGGTCGTTCACATATTACTTGATTCACGATGTCAATCCTTCGCATCTCGCCGATCTGTGGTTGCGAGAAGAATTATTTGATGCGTGGCGCGACCCAGTAGTGCATCGCGCTACAAACATATTACGTAATCAATATTTTGGCAATTTCTACCCCCTCCGTAATCAACCGTAATCAAGACCGAACCCCCCACCCCTATATTACGTAATCAAGGTTTGACACCCCCCCCCCCCATTCAAAACTATCACAACGGATTAATGAATGAAATAATCGCAAAGCACTAGAAAATTGGTTTAAAAAACGAAAATTTTGATTACAATTACATAATGATAATCAACGAAAATTGTCCAATTGGTAATGGTATTTCGAAAATCGGTAAAAAAATTAGAATTTTGATTACGTAATCAACGACCAACCCCCCCCCCCCCCCGTAATTAACCGTAAGCATTTGAACCCCCCCCTCGGCTGATTACGTAATATGAGAACGACCCCTTACGCCTGAGTGGCGTGCGCCCGCCGTTTTATTTACCTACTCCTAGCTTATACTCGTTTTGTATATCTATAGGAAGTTTGATCGAGCGTCGCGCACAGGGACTGATGTGTCAGGTAAGCCCGCCGTCTACAGCTGTGGCGCGAAAGCATGAAGCACATGGTTAGCGTAAAAAGGGTTAACACCTTATCGGACCTTATTTGGACGGACATTAATTGAACGCTGGAGGCCCTAACTTTCATTTTATTCTTAATGTCCGTTCATTTAAAGTCCGTCCAAGTTAAAGTCCGTTGAACTTTCTCAAAAATTAGAACTTTTTGTCCAGAATATCAAATATGACAATTATGAGAACTTTGATGTGCCGTAAGTTAACGACGCGACGGGAATGTTCTTCTTTACTTGGTCTGCCGAAGGCACAGAAAACTTTACTAGTATATGATGTTTTCAAGGGTCACTTTGCGGAGAAAGTCAACAAAATTATGGCACTCAACAACATAGTTCATGAGCTAGTCCCCGCCAACATGACTAACTTGTTCCAGCCTCTAGATAATACGGTAAATCGTGTTGCCAAGGACATTGTCCGACGTTGTTATTTACTACTTCCTCTTATGTTAAATTATTATTTCAGCAATTATTTCTATTTCGGTTGTTTGTACGGGAGTTAAATTTTAAGTGATTTTGTTTTTAAATTTTCATGATTCTTGAAATTCGAATTTTACTTACTCTAGGTATGTTATTCATTCATGTATAGTCGAGACGATGGTGTTAGTGCCATCTCCGACAACTTCACGTTTAATTCCGTTTAATTCCGTTTAATTCCTTATAGTTCATATTACTCAGGGGAGGTATTACTATTAATGATACAGTGCTAGGTAAGCTCCACGTGATGTTAAGGTTCTGGTTAACCTAAAGTTGTCCAAGATAAAACCGCTTCACGCCGAACGGCTTGTAAAAGTTAACACTGAAATGCAGGACCGGGGTAGTTGGATAAAAAAAGGTTTCCATAAAGCTAGAAATCACTGATGCTTTAAGCATGGACTATTCCATTTCCACGCACGAAAACCCATTTGACGAAGATGATATGTGATGTTAGACGCTGATCATCATCATGTACACATATTTCAACATTTTTACTGCTTAACGACTGCTTTCTTACTTACTGTAAAAATGGATCTAAAAATCATTTGCTTGTTGCTGAAATTTAAAAAAATGAATAAAAAATTCGGATTTTTGATGGTTTTGAATGCCTTCTAGCGTTCATATTAATGTCCGTTCATAATTATGTCCGTTCATTTAATGTCCGTCCAAATAATGTCCGATAAGGTAATACTAATAGCCCTTTACGTTTAATAACCAGTTACTTATAGAAAATTAGCGGATAAATAGCGAATAAATTGTATAATACAACTGTTTATGTACTTTATCGACCAGACCATCGCCAACAGTTAAATCGGCGAAACTTGAAACACCGACGAGAATTATACAAAACACAAAAGAAACGATTAAAATTAGTATTAATAACAAAAAGTTGCAGCGATACACAACTTGGGCGACAGTCACTTACAAAATCATTTAATAGCAAAACAAACGTGACAGAAAACGTAAATAATTTAAAAGATTGAAATACATACTATACACACCGTGCGATAGCAATACATTTTGCCTTGGTACTTAAACCAAAATAAATCCCTGCTGCCTTGAATTTAAATACAAAATTTTCTTGTGAATATACGTAAAAACAGAAAAGCGATTGGGTTAATCAACACGGGTTTAATTGTTGGCTTAAGTTAACATTTAAATCTTTTAAAAATATCAGTATCACACTCACAGTCACAGCAGTTAGCAGTATAAGAACACGACCAGATGATAATACAAATTTGAAATGAAGAATACCCACTAAGATTCTGCAGTTATTAAAGCTCCCCAACAGTTTTTGAGCCCCTTTGTCAAATAGCTAATATCGGCCTAATACACAATAAAGATAATTATCTCAATGCTTGAAAAGAACAGGGAGTAAGTTGGCCCTAGTCGCTCCACTCGTCATCTTCGCAACCCTCCATCATGTCCTGTTCGAGTGGGCCCGCTTCTTTCTGTATCTGCTCGGCAAACGAGTTGAACAGCTCGTCTCTTTGAGCTTCGTGTGACTTGAACTTCAGGTGCTGTTCGGGACAATGGTTGCAGTTTCATTTTAGATTTTTTCAGTTTTACATATGATTAAATGTTGTTGGCAATGAAAAACTAATTAACGAATCGTATGAATAAACTATTATAAATGCTATGTGAAATTTTGAAATAATGCCCACAATACCGGTCAAACCAACCTCTTGTTGTATCTTTGACTGCTGATTGCCCTTCTTGACGACCTCTACTTCAGACATTCTCTTAACACCCTCGGGACAAGGATCTACACTCTTTACATGGTACTGGCTACCTGAGCTCCAGTCACCTGCTGTCATTATCGCAGATGAGAAGTCCATCTTTGTCGTGAAAATATCGTCCTGAGATTTTAGAGCTAGTTAGTGGTTTGTTGTCTTGTTATAACTTTCAAAGAAGGAGGCGAAAAATGCCGTGATTGTCAAGCTCACAGCTTAAAAAAATAAATGAAAACTAAATCAAATTAGGTTTATCACTTCAAAAAACACACCTGGAAATTAGGTTTATCACTTCAAAAAACACACCTGGAAATACTCCTTGCGAAGTCTGGGAACCAACATGGTGATAAACTGCACACTATCCTTGCAAAGTTTATACAACTTCATCACTTCTACAGACATCACATCGCAGGAGGATTTGTTGGCCTGTGTACAAGCATACTGAGTTCCGATACCGTTGTGTACGGCGAGGGGTAAGATGTATGGGGGCTCTTTCCGGAGCTCAAACGGCATAACTGATGCTTCTCCTGGAGATATAGATTTCAGAAAATAGAATCTACCCGTTTTTGAGATAACACTTAGGATAATCGAGCACTGAAAGATGATTCATATCGATGGAAAAATGAATGGAGTATACCTCTTGCGACACAGCAAGCCATGTTAAGATCCAAATCCAGAAGTGGGGTATACAAGGAAGTTCCAATTCCCAAACTGTGACTTGCCAGCAAGGTAAACTCCTCCTCTTCCCTACACAGTCTCAGACTGTAGAGTGTCCGGGAGTTCCCATGTCCGTGTACGGTGACTACAAGGACGTCTCGTGTCGCTCCCATCCGAGCACTGATAGTGTGAAAGGGAATTATAGTCAGGAAACACAGTTAAAAGTCCCTTTATATATGGTTTTAACTTTTAAGCGATAAGTTTGTACAGTAAAACCCCGATTTACCGCAGAGTTTGGGGAAAGGAAACAACCGCGGTAAATCGGGGTTTGCGGTAAATCGGGGTTTTTAGTTCACATCATGCATGTTAAGCTCTATTTGGGGGGAAGGAAATTGGTCGCGGTAAATCAGGGTTTGCGGTAAATCTGGATGCGGTAAATCGGGGTTTTACTGTATCATGTATCTCATTGAGTCATACATAAATTTTCTCATTGCAGTTCTTTTGCGCGTCTTCAAAATTGACGTTTTCAGATACAAGCTGGGGTCCGGTCGCCGGATAGTCGCCGGACTGATAACATTCTATTATACTGAGTCGCAGAGACCAAAGGCAAGCAATTATGACTTTCAACTTGTAATAATGATACAAATTAAAATGTTCGCCTTTCACATGTCATTTTTATTAACGTGCAGTTAATTGTCGGTCGCCCACTGCTAATCAGTCCATGTCCGCTACTGTCCGCTACATAATGTCCAGGCACAGGTTACACTTACGTTCATAAAAGGTTTCAATTATGGTGTTATCTAACGTGGCAACGCTATTGTAATATGCCTTCATTTTGCATATGTCTCACATCAACTTAAAGAACATCAGAACGCCCCAACCACTCTGGCGACACGGTTTTTGTGCAGACTATTTTCTTTGTTGACTTTTTGAACGTTTTAGCATTGAAACCATGCGGATCTCGTCCGTATTCAAAGGATTTATATGTGTTGCACTATTCATAGAGCATGCAGCCATACAGTCTAAAGATCACTACTCTGAGCCACTGGTCCAGGATAAAATGCGAGAGAATCAGCTTGTATCAGACCACAGCAATAAAAATGTATCAAATTTGCTCGTGATTGAAAACAACGACACAACGACACAGGCCTCCGGTGACAATATTACGGACTCAACCAGCCAAAACACAACCATGGCAAGTACCGGGACAATTCGCCGAAAAGGTACAGCTTGGGTGTGGTTAATACTTGGCATAGTAATCGTCTCGGTAGCTCTGATAGCTGGAATAGCAATGAAAAAGGTACATCCTTCCCTCCGAGAAGATGATGGCTATGACTATTAAGTTGGATCTGAGCCAAAAAATACATTTTCGGGGAATTTTATAAATGTAACTTACTTCTTAATTTCACTCTTTATGTCGACAACCTTTTTGGAATCGGTTCTGCAGTTCAACGCAATGATCTTACCTGAGAAACAATAATTCTTGATAATTTTGTATACAATTTTACCTTGAGGCCTGATTGTTAATTCGAAATGATATTTCAAAATGTTATGAATAATAACCATAGTTTGATAGATTTCACTAAACAACTCACCAGATTTCTGAGCCAGGTAAATGACATATCCGTCTAACGAATCCCAGCACATTGCATTACACCCGCTTTCACCGCCCATATCGTACGTTTTTAGCTGTAGAAGAGGTTTTTAAAACAATAATTTCTCGTTAATCAAATATCATCAACATTTGGGGTCTATAAAGTTAATTTCCGTCGGGGTGTACCCCTAATTCTAAGTTGTTGTTTAAACACAATCCAGCCTAACCTTGGTTTGTTTGTGAGAGTCCCACAAGATGAGAGTGCCGGTAGTATCACAAGCAGCAAGTAGTCCGGCCACCCCGGGATGGTAACACAGCATACTAAGTTTGCTGTTGTGTCCCTTTAAGTTTCCTAGAAGCGTGGTTGAGTTCATGTCGTTTATTTTCCACAGGTTTATCTGGGGTGTGACTAGTTAGAGAAGTATAGAGAGCTACACATCTTCTGAAATTGTTGGGTAGATTCACGTGGTATTATTGGAGATATCACGTGGTAATATTGGAGATATCACGTGGTAATATTGGAGATATCAAGTATAGAGAGCTACACATCTTCTGAATTTGTTGGGTAGATTCAAATAAGATTATTTTCCGTTGGTTGTTTGAGCTTACTGTGATTACGGCTAATGATTAGGAAAAGTTTAACAGAAGAATCGGATTTATTAAATGAGCACAAACTGCGGTGCGCGCAGTATAAGTGGTAGGAAGTGATTCGGTCTAGAGTGTTAAGTTTTTTGATTATATGTATAACAGCGGAATTATTTTATTGAATTAATGAAAACGCCAAAAGATGCTGCACTCTACAGCCATTCCATTAATGAAAACTTAACTTTAGATTAAAGATAAATTAGTTTTAACTGACCGTAGCACAGTCGCCTCCCACAGCGAGCACTTCATCCCCACAGAAAGGGTCCCACTCGAACACGGTAGGACTGCCCACGTTTACAATCTCCAGTTGGGGAGTGTTGTTTTGTCCAGGGTCAGCTAGATCTATCACTCCTAACCTACCCCCACTTCCTACCATGTGGTGTACTCCGTATTTCCTGCCTGAAACACGTGGTGTTATTGGAGATATCACGTGGTGTTATTGAAGATATCACGTGGTATTATTGGAGATATGACGTGGTAATATTGGAGATATCACGTGGTATTATTGGAGATATCACGTGGTATTATTGGAGATATCATGTGGTATTATTGGAGATATGACGTGATAATATTGGAGATATCACGTGGTATTATTGGAGATATCACGTGGTAATATTGGAGATATCACGTGGTATTATTGGAGATATCACGTGGTAATATTGGAGATATCACGTGGTGTTATTGGAGATATGACGTGGTATTATTGGAGATATGACGTGGTAATATTGGAGATATCACGTGTTATTATTGGAGATATCACGTGGTAATATTGGAGATATCACGTGGTGTTATTGGAGATATCACGTGGTATTATTGGAGATATCACGTGGTAATATTGGAGATATCACATGGTATTATTGGAGATATCACGTGGTATCATTGGAGATATCACGTGGTGTTATTGGAGATGTGACGTGGTAATATTGGAGATATCACGTGGTATTATTGGAGATATCACGTGGTAATATTGGAGATATCACGTGGTATTATTGGAGATATGACGTGGTAATATTGGAGATATCACGTGGTGTTATTGAAGATATGACGTGGTGTTATTGGAGATATCACGTGGTGTTATTGGAGATATCACGTGGTGTTATTGGAGATATGACGTGGTAATATTGGAGATATCACGTGGTGTTATTGGAGATATCACGTGGTGTTATTGAAGATATCACGTGGTATTATTGAAGAGGAATGGCTCGTGTCTACTTTAGTACACTTGATAGTTGATCATGAGTGTGCCGATATTAAAGCAGTATCTGGAGGGGCAACCACAGAACTGAAGGAGGGGCCCCAGCTTGCATTTGTTAATCGCAGGTGTAAGTTTATTTCAACTTTGTAGCAACAATTGCAGATATAATAAAACATGTCATAGAATTAATAATTAAGTTAGGATGGAAAGATTTTAACCAAGTATAGCTAGTCCATACCCTAGCTGGGGGGGTACCAATGGCATAAAATGGCATAAATGGCATACGTTTTTTGGCATAAATGGAAATTGTTATTGGCCAATTCTCCATTTATGCCATGAATTTAGGTCTTCATATTTGACTTTAAATTCGCAAATTATTATTAGTACTTGAATAAGAGACATGTTTTATGCTTTATACCGCTTGGAATGATCGTTAAAGATTCATATGACAAATAAAGAAAATAGAAATGTATTATATCAAAAATGGCATAAATGGCATACGTTTTATGGCACAAATGGAAATTTTTATTGGCCAATTCTCCATTATGCCATTTATGCCATTGGTACCCCCCCCCCCCCCCCCCCTAGCTATATAATACGAAGAATTTGTTTACTTTAAATGATAATGTCCACTTCTAAATAAAAAGCTCTTATATCATAGTTTGTGCTAAACTTCACATTTTATATCGCCTAGGTTTTTTCCTTACCACTAGTTAATAATTTGACCAGATTAAATTATCATTTTGAGCCGCTTTCCGTCGATATATTGAAATGAACAAACGCCTGAGTAAGCAGCTGGCTGCCTGTTTGGCTCTATTGCGTGATTATAAGACTGGTTTTTATTAAGTTTACAAAGGAACTGAGAGCGACTGAAATAAACTCTAGTGAGAAAATGAAAGGACCAGAACGGTGAAGCTTCATAACTGAGAACCATACAAATCTGTATTTAAGTTTAATTGAGAAAGCACGTGAAGTTTACAAAGGAACTGGGGGCAACTGAAATAAACTCTGGTGGAAAAATAAAAGGACCAGAAAGGTGAAGCTTCTAAATAATAATTAAAAGCTGCTCGTTGAACAAAAAAGGAACACGTGCTGTATTGCGTAGTTTCACTCTTTTCTGGAGAGAGGTTGCTTAGTCAGCTGGAGATTCTATAGAAGTCCAGGAGCAGTGCTCTTCTTGCTGTACCCAGGTGCTGCACTCTACTCATTACTCATTGTAAACACGTGCTGTTACAACTTGCCATTGTGCACTGCGCTAGCTCTTGTGCAAGATAACTTACTTATAAAAAGCAGATGTGGAAGAACCACGACATCTTCATCATTTAGCTCTGCTCTCTGAGATCTCTCACTTTTTAACGCCGATTATCTTTTTAGAAAAGACACTGAAAATTTCCAGAGGCGTTTTTACCGTAGTTTTCTTAACAAATAATGCGAGCTCGTACTTGTCAACTAACCACCACTGATAATATGAGCACACACTTCCTTTTAATGTGGAGGTTAGATACTTAGACGCTCTGTTCTGATATATTTCCTTTCTGGCAAAAAAGTGGGCTTTTATAAAATAATCAACATGTGTAATTATTAGGTAACAATGAGAAACGTACTAGCGGTGGTATTGGTTGTGTTGAGCTTTGCTCATGCTGATGATGACTGTAGAAGGTGGGGGATTCAACCTAAGCAATGGCATTTGTTGAGCTCTAACTCATCGGAATCTGAAGGGCGGAGTGGTCTATTACTGACAGAAATGTGGGGTAGGATGTTTGCAGTAGGGTATGCTAATGCCGAGAGCAAAATAAACCCTATCTACCATGAGATCTGTAACTCTTCATACAAAGTTCACTCTTCACACAGATACTACCCAGATGAGGTGTTGGACCAGTTCTCGCAGTTGCAATTATTAGAGGACGGTGTTTACAGTTGTGATTGGGGAAGTGAAGAATATGTTTTCTTGGAATGCGTGAACAACACAGATCCGGAGTGGGAACTGGTGGGAGCAGGTCTTTACTTCCTGGATGACGAAACAGAAGAGATAGAGAAGGGAAGAGAAGGTCTGCTACTTGTACACTTTGCAGATCAAAGAGAAGAAGCTGAGGAAGGGAGCTGGCTATCTGGTACTGTCTGTGATGACAGATTTACTGACCACGCAGCAGATCTATCTTGCCAGTACCTTGGATACGAATCCGCTGAGGAGTGGGGCAGCGGCAGACAATATGTCCCTGCTAGTATCCTGGAGGAGTACAAGATACAAACATTGGTGGATGACATTAATTGTGGTGAAAGCGATACCAACATAACGGAGTGTGAAGCTAGAGTATTGGAAGGACACGACTGTAGCAGTTCCGAAAACCTGTGGTTGAAGTGTGCTTCCAACAGCGAGGAACCAGAATGGAAATTCGACTCTGTCCACACGCTTGAGTACAATGAGGGGCATATCTCTCCCGGACCTGACGGACTCCTCTTCGTACTTTTCGAAGACATGAACCACCCGGAATCAGATAAGTTATATGGCACTGTCTGTGATGACGATTTTAACGACCATGCTGCTGATCTGTCCTGCCAGTCAATGGGATTCAAATACGCGGAGGCCTGGGGAAGCAGCCCGGATAACGCCTACTACTTTCCAGAAGAAGCTTATGGAAACCTTCCCATAGTGCTAGACGATGTGCAGTGTGATGAGTGGACAACTCATATTTCAGAGTGTGAGTTCCGCATTTTAGAACATGACTGCAGCAAATCGGAGAATATTTGGTTGAAATGCAGTATTGAGGATGATGAAGAGGGGACGGAAGAAGAGGGGACGGAAGAAGAGGGGACGGAAGAAGAGGGGACGGAAGAAGAAGGACTGGAGTTGGAGTTCGGTGGAGCTAAACTCAGTTTAAACCTTAACAAGATCCGCACAAAATGGAACTTCTAAGAAAACGGAGGTAAATAGAAAACTTCGGGTAGAAAACATCTTTTTGAAAAATGTATCATTCACAATTGTAGTAAATAAGTAGATAGCATTTGAAATTTCACAATTTCTGTGTTTGAATTTTGTTTCCGTCCAAGATTAAAGCATATTTCGTCATAACTTGGGATCAGTACCTGAATTAGTAGCAGTTCTAGAAGCAGTAATAAACTTAACCATTAATTGAGAAATTAAAAATCAGAAAAATTCATTCTCTTCATGAAAACAAGTACAGACAAAACCCTTAGACATACATATAAGGTGAAATGTAGGTGAAATTATTAGTGAGATAAACATGTAGGTATAATAGTGCAATATAGGTAAAACTACGAGCGATATAAAAATGCATTAGAGCGGAGGCAGTTAGTTTGCCAGCCGATAATGGGTTAAGAATGATTGAACGGGTTCTATAAACAAACACACATATCATCTTACTAGATATAAAGCGAGACGATATATATATATTTATCCGTGCCATTTTACTGACACCACGGCATCAAGTTAAACGCGAATTTCTGCAAAACTGTAAAAGATATACAACTGAAACTTTTTTGACTGGGTCAAATGCTTTAATGGCCTCCAAATCAGCATGAAAAAATAAAAAATAGGCCAAGAAATAGGAGTATTAGAGCCCAAAATTTGATACCCCGACTGATAAAGAGAGATAAAACCGACTGACCGATCTGAAAGCCATTAGACTCTTGAGGGAAAACAGTCTGCACGTTCTTCAGACCATGATAGTGAAGATCTCTGTGAGCTAACAGTCCCTCAATGACGTGGTATTATTGGAGATATCACGTGTTATTATTGGAGATATGACGTGGTATTATTGGAGATATCACGTGGTGTTATTGAAGATATCACGTGGTATTATTGAAGAGGAATGGCTCGTGTCTACTTTAGTACACTTGATAGTTGATCATGAGTGTGCCGATATTAAAGCAGTATCTGGAGGGGCAACCACAGAACTGAAGGAGGGGCCCCAGCTTGCATTTGTTAATCGCAGGTGTAAGTTTATTTGAACCTTGTAGCAACAATTGCAGATATAATAAAAGATGTCATAGAATTAATAATTAAGTTAGGATGGAAACATTTTAACCAAGTATAGCTAGTCCATACCCTAGCTACATAATACGAAGAATTTGTTTATTTTAAATAATAATGTTTACTTCTAAATAAAAAGCTCTTATATCATAGTTTGTGTTAAACTTCATATTTTATATCGCCTGGGTCTTTTCCTTACCACTAGTTAATAAT